GGAGAGGGACCCCTGCCCTGAGGAGAGACAGGCAGGGAGAGGGACCCCTGCCCTGAGGAGTGACAGGCAGGGAGAGGGACCCCTGCTCAGGGACACCCACCTTGGAGTAGAAGTATCGGCACACGGCCTCCTGCGCCCACGGCTGGAAGTAGAACTCGGCTCTCCGCTCCTCCTCGGGGTTCCCAACCACATCAGTCATCGTCTGCAGAGCACAAAGGACACACCAGCAGCTCAGGGAGTGCAAAAGCTCCCTGGCTGTGCCGAGCAAACCCTCCCCTCTCCTCTCAGAGCGCTCAGGTCACGTTCTGGTGCTCGACTCCGATTCCAGTCTCGCTTTCCGAGCAGGAAATTGCCTCTCTCTGTCTCTCTGTCTCTGCGGGAGCTCGCTGTAATGAGGGAAGAGTGTGACTGGATCCACCTTCCACACAAGACAAAGCTTTTTACCTTCAAGTCCCGGCACTGGGACTGCAGCCAGTCGTTGATGAAGCCCTGAGGGTCCCGGGCGAAGCTCAGCATGAACTCGCGCTGCGTCTTCAGCTGGTTGATGGTCTCGATGGTTTCGTGGATCTGAAGGGCACAAACACACAGTGGAGCTGCTGAAAGGTCACAAACATCAAGAGGCACAACACAAGAAGGCAAATTCTTAACACTCCCTGGCCGATTTACACCTGTCAGAGGACCCTCAGTTCCCAATTTCCTGCCCTAAATATTCCCCAATTTTCCCACGGACCGTCTGCTTTAAAATTTCCACCCGTTTGTGAGCACGGCTCATCCCGCTCCAGCTTCCAAACATTCCTGTCCTGTCCAGGTTCACCTGCTCCAGAGGCACTTCCCTGCCCAGCTCCAAGGAGAGCAGACCCCAAGGAGCTTTTCCTACCTTGTTATCCAGAGCAGCAATTTCCTGCTGACTGGCTGTGGAGAGCAGAAAGGAATTCATCTGGGTTTTCAAGGTGTCATCCACCTCCACATCGATGTCATAGCAGGCTGTCTTCTTCTGGTCATTTGGGTCAACACTGGGGACACCCACAAAAAGGCAAAATCAGGGAGCAGCTCGAGAAAGGAGCCAAAATGAGTTAGTAGGTCAAGAAAAAAGGTAAAATCTGGGAGTAGTTCAAATGGAAGTGGCTCAAGGAGCAAAAATGCAGCTCCTCTGGGATGCTGCAGGCAGGGACAGGGACAAGCCTCAGTCCCAGCAGCAGCAAAGCTCCACTGATGGCTTTGCATTGCTCCAAGGAGCAGTGGACAGCATGGATGTGGGAAAGCCTCTGGAAAAGAGGGATGTGGTGACAAAGAGATGATGACAGGTAACACGGGAGCTGCTGCTACAACCAGGACGTATCACACCGTCCTCCTGTGATCCTTCCTCACCCAACCCTCCCTGGGAATGGGAATTCCCATTGGAGCAGCCTCACCTGATCACGTGGTTGATGATGATGGGCTCTGGGGGCATCAGCAGCGCGTGGAGCCTTTGGGGGATTTCGGAGAACTTCATGCGCTGGGACTCGAAGATCTGCGGCACAAACGGGGGCTGAGGGGGATCTGGGGGGGCAGCCACCCCCTGCCCACCCACCCACCCAGGGCAGCAGGGCCAGGAGCTGCTCCAGGACCCCCCCTCACCTGCTGCAGGTACTTGTCACAGATGACAAACTCCCGCTCGTGGGGGTCCTGCAGCTTGTGGGTCTTGATGTACTGCCAGAGGGCCTGGATGATGACGGGCCGGGTCTGCGTGTGGATCCCCAGCAGCCGAGCCAGGCGGGGGTCCAGCTTGAACTGGGGGGGCTGCACAGGGGAGCACAGAGGGCTGAGATGGTGCCAGGCACTGGGGAGATGGTGCCCAGCACTGCTGCTCCCAGTTTGGGTTGGAAGGGACCTTAAAGCCCACCCGGTCCCACCCCGACACCTTCCGCTGCACCGGGTTGCTCCAACCCGGCCTTGGGCACTTCCAGGGATCCAGGGGCAGCCACAGCTTGTCTGGGCAACCTCCCCACGCTCCCAGGGAGGAGTTTTTTCCTCCTGCCTCACCTGGTAATCCAGCATCAGCAGGACAGTGCAGCGCACGTTCACGTCCCCCGGCCTCTTCACCTGGAAGCCGTCTGTCTCCTGAGTCGTGGCAG